GTGGTAGGTGGGGCACCCTGAGAGAGGAGATAAGGCAGGGCAGGAGCCAGCTTACTCACTGGGCTCTCAGACTTGCTCATAGTGTACTTGCTCTGCCATCTGCACTTCTGAACTCTGGCTCCGGCATTCAGGCAACGGGGCTTCTGGACACCTGCACTCTCTGAGACCTACTCAGACTCACTCCCTCGCACTGGACCCTTGCTCACTAGGACAGAAGCATCCAGTAATTGACCTCCAAAGGAGAAAAGAAGCTGAAAAGCTTTGCAGAGAAGCTAAGAGCTTGGCTGAGACTGGGGGCTGTGGCCTGCTCCCAGCCTGCATTTGATATTGCCTAGAAGGAGCACTTAGGCCTTGGGCCTGGTATCTCAAAGAGCTATAACTTACAAACTTACAAAGACCCATAAGGCTAGTGACTGGAACTACTGGCCAATGCTGTCCAGCACTGTTGACAAGTGACCATTCACTCTGTCCAGGTCACCTCTGAGAATTGTTAATCATCCAACAGCACCTTCTGGTGCTGCCACCTTGTGTTGCTATATGGTCCAACATCTGGTGCTGTCTGTCCCAAGTTTAGGGTAAATGAAGATTGCTCAGGTTTTTGCACCATTGGCCTCTGTGGCCATCACCTGCAGCCTTTAATGCAGGAGTCTCTTGGGAGTGTGGGCTCAGGGTATGCATACCGGATGGTGGACACCGGGAGTATGGTATGGGCCTGAATAATTGGGCACACCTGAGCCTGGAGGCTGAGGCCCTAAGGGCAGCATAGTATAGTGCAGCAGAGTGCGGCAGAGAGCAGCAGACTGGCCATGAGAAGAAGAGGCCACAGGACAATGCCAGAGAAAGCCCAACAAGTAAAGATTCACTGGGGGCTGGGAGCCCTGCCCTGCCTGCCCTGCACTGGTTGCCTCACTACAAATGGTATAGAAATATAATTAAAAGCCAAAAAAAAAAAAAAAAGCCGCTGAGGGCTCCAGGACTCTCCTTTACCAGTTGCCTGAGTCAATAGGCACAACACCAACTGTAGGGTAAGTGAAGATGCTCAGGTTTTTGTGCCATTGGCTTCTATGGCCACCATCTCCAGCCTTGAATGCAGGGCATGCTTAGGAGTGTAGGCTTGGCCTGACAGTAGACACCTGGAGTATGGTGTGGCATGCATAAGTGGGCACACTTGAGCCTGAAGGCTGAGGATATAAGGGTGGCTATGAAGGCAGGGACCATGAGATGACTCCAGGGAGAGCCCAGAGAGAAAGACTAGAGATTTGCTGGAAGCGGGGAGGGCTGCCAGCCTCCTGGTCCTCTGGCCTCCCTGCCTTGCCAGCCTGTGGGCTTTCCACACAACAATTGGTGTAGAAATATCATTAAAGCCTGAAAAAGCCACTGAGAACTCCAAGGTTTTCCTTTACCCATCTGCCGGAACCAATAAAGAAGCTCCCCTGTGCTTGCTGGCGCTACACCAACTTTCAGGCTGTGACTGTGGGCTGCTGTGGCTCTGCCTGTGAGCACCTCTAGCTACAGCAAGTTGGTTGCTGGCCCATGGCTTGCTGGTCACAAGCTCCAGGTCTTCAAGATGCCATCTGGGAGGAGTGGCTTTTGATTAGGACTTTTGGACACTGTGAGCATCATCTGGGGTAATACAGCTGGCTACTTGTGGTCTTGAGAACTCCTTGTTTCACCCGTTTGTTAAATAAAACCCACTGTTGTTGCTCCCTGAACCTGAGTGGTCTTGCAATTGTGTCTTTATTGGGCACTGTCCATGGAGGGCTGTAGAACCCCTATAGCCCTATTTCAGTATGCTATAATTAGAAATGAGAGTTTTTTACGGTTTCTGATTGTAGGAACATGGTTAAAAAACAATATTTTATTATCTTTTCCAATCATTAACTACATCAGTAGCAGGAAAATAAAGTAGAAATGAATGACTTAAAATCAAGTGCAAGATCCTCATATACAATTCGAAAGCATACACCTTCTTTTAAATTTCATTGTCTAACTCGTTCTCTCCAAAAACAGTAAAACAAGTGTTAATCCCATAAAAATAAGGAAAACGAGACTAGGAGGCATGAATCACTTGCCAAGGATCACAATGTTTTGTTTTGTTTTGTTTTGTTTTTAATCTGGTGCACTTTTTTTTTTAAGGATTTATTTTATTTTATTTTATACAAGCACGGGGTACAGTCAGAAGCGCAGGAGGGTGAGAGAATTCACCAGAGCCAGAGCGGGGAGCAGAGCAGGCAGAAGGACCGATGTACACTGATGAGGGGAGCAGCGGGCGGCAGGGGAGGTCTGCGTGCCATGTGGGACCCTCCTCTGGTGGCCGGGGAGCAGCCGGGGATGGAACCAGCGCTGCAGAGGCTGCGGGCAGCTTCGCAACCCAGCGCTCAACCGCTGCGCCACCAGGGAGGCCCAAGGATCACAATGTTAAAAAGAGTAGGGAGGTATAAAAGCAAGTGTATAGTGGCCTCCCTGGTGGCACAGAGGGTTGAGCGCAGAGCTGTGGAGCTGTCCATAGCCTCTGCAACATGGTTCAACCCCCAGCTGGCCAGGGAGATACCCACATGGTGTGGCAGATCTCTTCTGTCTTGCCTGCTGCTCCCCTCAGCAGTGTTTTTGGTCTATCTGCCTGTTCTGCTCCCCAATCTGTCTCTGGTGAATCCTCTCACCTTCCCGTGCCTCTGTCCTGTACCCCAGTTCTTATATGCATAAATAAATCAATCTTTAAAAATAAATAAATGAAAGTAAGCATATAACAATTGCATGTATAAAATCTTTACTTGCAAAGTCCAACATAGGCTCAAAATGAAAAAGTAAAAGGTAATCACAGTTTTTATACAGTCTCACCTCCACTCAATTTATTTCAGGAATCACAACTTCTAATATTCTTCACCAACACTTTGGCATTCTTTCTGAGCTTCTAGCCACTCACCATCTTTTTGACTATTCTGAACCATGACAGTATCAATGTCATGTTCTGAATGACTAATGCTAATGCAGTGCAGAACCCTCCAGGTCTTAAGAGTTTGAAAGTCAGCAGAAATGGAAGTGAGACAGTCATGCGACTTCAGAGCAAACTTTACAAAAGGAACACTGGGGTGGAGGCTGTTCTTTTACACTGAGTCTGACAGCCATGTGACGTGGCAGCCAGAGACCTTGCCCAGCACTTGGAATAGTTGCCAAAGCATTTTCTGCAAACTTAAAAGGTCTAGTATTTATACTTGCAAAGGAAATGCTGTGCTTCAGGCCAGGCATAGGTACTATCAGAGGTTTTTATCAGTTTCTCAGGGATGATCAGTGCTTGCAGAGACACCAGAGATGCTCCAATCTCAACTTTATCATGTATATATGCTTCCTTGTCAGGGTATGCAACTCAGATCTCATCATTTAGGTTGTCTATAGTCAGGAATCCCACCTGGCCTTGTGTAGCCATGAAAAACGCAGATCCTGGTCTATCACCACCGCAAAGAAATCTACATTCTGTGATTTGGCTGCACCGATTCACTATTTTGGTTTCTGTTATTCCAGGCAAGTCAATCAATTGGCAGGAATAAGGCTACTTCCATGGGTGAATATGTTATGGTCAAATTTCCATCTCAGAGAGATAAAGTGAAGCATTACATTTATTAATCATGGCTAACTAGGGTGATCAAAACCTCAAAGTAATTGCAGACCAGAGATAGGATTTGCAAGTGGGTTTAGCTTTTTAATTAAAAAGGCTTGGCTACTTATTCCCCTTACAATTTGCATGAATCTCAAAGGTATTTGAGTGAATGAAGTAATTCGCAGAGCATTACATATAGAATTATTCCATTTCTATGATATTCCCAAAAAGACAGAACTATAGACTGAGAAAAGATAGCTGGTGTTAGGTAGAACAGGGAAAATGAGTGACTCTAAACTGATAGAAGGAGAGAATTTGTGGAATGATGCATCCTAACTATTCTGTATCCTAACTATAATAGTCAGGTTACATAAATCTATGTTAAAATTTCACAGGACTATACCCCAAAACAACAAACCAATGAGTGCATGTAAAAATTGATGAATTTTGAGTAAATTTAGTTTAATAGTGTTATTATAATGCAATGACTTTACTTTGATAATTCTACTATTAATAACTAAGATGACATCATTGGAAAAGCTGGATGAAGAGTGCACAAAAATTCTCTGGACTACTTTTCCAACTTCTATGAAAACATAATATTCTTTTGAAATAAAAAATAATTAAAAAAAAAAACAAGAAAAAAAGGATTAACAAAGCCTTATTTTCAATGTTTAAACTTGTGGTCTTATTTTTTAAGTGTCATGATCAACACAGAGTGTTCTGAAGCATAGACTGTAGCATCCTAAAGGAAACTGTAATTCCCTGTTTGCTCTGCCTCAAATTCTCTTTTACCATCTTTTTCTTATAGAAACACTTTTTATTTCCAAAATCTTAGCATAGTCATGACTTTCTCTGAAATTCCACCATAAGAATGCTGTATTGGGCCTCCCTGGTGGCACAGGCTGTTGAGCGCCACACCGTGAAGGTGTCCTCAGCCTCTGCAGCATGGATTTGATCCTGGCCAGGCAGCGAGAATCCCACATGGCACAGCAGACCTCTCCTGTCTCGCCCGCTCCTCCCCTCAGCAGTGTATTTCAGTCAGTCTGCCTGTTCTGTTCCCCACTCTGTCTCTGGTGAATCCTCTCACCCTCCTGCGTATCTGGCCTGTACCTCGGTTCTTGTATAAATAAATTAATCTTTAAAAAAAAGATTTTAAAAAATGCAGTATCTCTGCATTCCCTTGTATATGTTTATTTTACTGAACACATATTTTTATGCCTACCTCTTCTACTCTGTGAACTGGGAAACTAAACCAGAACTTGCTCAGCTTTGTATTTTTGTTCCAGAGAACAGAATATTGCAAATGTCAGTAAATGAGTTGTTGAATAAATCATTATTTACATATTTCTTTAAAGCTATATATTTAACAATGTTAAGATGGAAGTGATGTAATGAAGTGTTTAATATGTAATGCACTCTCACTTATAGGACTTGCTTATGTACTAATTTTTATAACTAAACACCTAAAGAGATAATTCGGAGTACTTTACAGTTGTTATAGCAGAACTGTTTAGCTCCACAGTTCTCTAGAGAAAGGAAGTTTTTTCAGCATTTCATGTGTCGGAAGACTTTACCCAGAAGAACATTAGTGATCCAGTATGGATATTCATTAGGTTGCATCTGTCTTGAAAAAGTCACATTTGCCTTCAACCTGTGAAGGAAATCAAACATGTTGTGCTGATAATGAATCAATAGTATGCTGACGTTGTGCATGGGGATTAATCAAAGGTCCTCATTCTCTTCCAGGCAATTTCAAACTACCAGTTATCAGCAGAGGCACGTGAGCTGGAGAGCAAGCCAAGCACACACTTGGAGGTGCAGACCATACTGTGTATACTTATCTCTCCAAAGTGAACCTCAAAGAGTGCCTTCTAAGCCCCAAGGCTAGAAATGCACACAACCTTAGGTTAAATACTAATTCCCTCATTCTATCTTTAGGTTAGCTAGTATACAGTCAAATTACTTAACTTTGAATTGCTTCTTTTGTAATGGAAACACAAATTTACCTTTCCCTTTATATTTGAGAGGAATACCTAATTAAAATAAAGATGTCCCCCTCCACTTGGATATAAATGCTTTATTCTTGCAACTGACCATTTTATCACTTCTTGCTTCTTCATTTTATACATAATAAATATCAACTTCATAGAGTAAATTGTTACAGCTCTGATTAAAGTGACCCTAACAATCTGGTGTTGATTGCCTCCTTCAGGGAAAATTCATTGATAAATAATAACATGAGGACACAAAACATGTTTTAACTTTTCTTCTGTAAAATAATACTTAGAACTACACTGATATAAAACTTAATGAAAAAGAGTGTTCCTGTTTTTATTTATCCACTTAACATTATATAACAATGTAACATTTGTTCTATTACAAGTTTCTAATTTTATACATGAAAAAATGAAAAACCAGACATGTTAAAGCAACTGTTCCACTGCCACCAAGTTAGTTATTTCCATAATGTTAATTCAGTTAAATTACCTGTGTCCACAGAACCTATATGTGTCTTCCTGATGTTGTTCACTACTGCCTCCAGGCACAGTTCCCTATGTGGGGAGGTAATGCTTTCACTCACTTCTAAATGACTCCTTGGCCTGAAACTATGGATTACACAAAACTCTGATCCCAGTTCATGTGGTTTTTGTAGTTAGTGGGTTTGGAGGGCATGTCCTTGGGTTCACTCTGGGAAAGGTTTCACCAGAGCTTCTGTTTCAGCGGCACATGGCGTGTTCCCCAGGTGAGTTTCTCCACGACATAGAGGGGTTAGTTATATCTAAAGAACAGGTTTATTAGGGAAAGAGACAGAAGAATGAAGGACACTTGCATAGACACAAGCGGACAGGAAGAGCTGCCCCGAAAGGGACAGGTTTGATGAGAGAGGCCTGCATGCTGGTGGGTAGGCGGCCTTGAGGAGAGCTACCTCCGCTGAGGGAGGTCAGTGAGGAGAAGCATGGCATGGTACGGGCAGGCAGGAAGCCTGCTGCCCTGCAGAGGGAGAAAGTTGGTGAAAAGAAGCACCTGCATAGGCACAGGTGGGCAGACGGTATGCTGCCCTGAGCCAGTGCAGAGAATGCACTGACACAGTGTTTTCCTATTTGGGAGGGGCTCACTCCTTTGTGGAGTGACCTATTTATGGCTGATTTTGGATAACAGTAAGAATCTGAAAGGGACCAGAGATTCTGGGATGGGGGCTGGAGATTCCAGGATGGGCCCAACCTCTATATCTTTACCCTCAGGTCTGTGCTCCAGACACTCCCTACAGCGTCTGATAACTGCTCCAGACACTCCCTACAGGATCTTCATTTCTATAGCTGGGTTAACAATCACTTTAATCCCCTCTACCCCCACCTCCTTTTTAGTCTTGTGATGCCTCCTTTAGATTTTTTATTCTTTCCTCTATCACCAGTCAGAAAAGATCATAGTCTTGGCCTCTCCTATCCTATATTCTAATAACTAATATTACTGCTGAAAACCTTCCTGATGAGCTAGACCTCTTCCATATTATCTTGCAAGTTCATTTTCTACCCATCTCTGTGCCCTAGGAGCAGACCTATACAGACATCATCAATACGCAACTTTATTTTTGATTTCTGGTTGAACTGAGCCCATTGTGAACACACACAAGAGAAGAAGAAAGGAGTGTAAAATCATAACATTCATTCTTACAGTTCCCTCTCTGAGGGGTCAACTTCCTCACTTGAAAGATAAATGTACTTATTGGTCCTTTTCATTGGAAATCTGATACCCACTATCACAGGCTGGTTTCTTCGTATTGTGTTCACACCTTTACAAGTGGTTCTTTATAATTAATTTTCAAACCATTCACTTTCTTTCTTGCTTGAACCCAGACTCAAAAAAAGAGAAAGAAAAGAAAAAAAGTAACATTTCATCTGCTTATTATTAATCTCATCCTTCTCCCGATCTCATTTTCTAAAATCACATACAGCCATAATGCAGACTCTAAGCATACAGACTTTAGTATCTGTACTCTATACTGTTATCCTTATTAAAATGTTATTTAAAAAAGCACACATTTTACCTTAAGCAATAAATGATTAAGTGTATGGTATACATCTTATAATTGCAGAGCACATAAAATTGCTTTAAGAAGCTCTTTTCTGATAATCCTGAGCTTCTGAAATATTAAAATGTGAACACACTCAGGAGAAACTTTTGATATGTTACTTCCCAATTGAGAATATTCTTACTGAAGAGGATGACATTTTTACCGTCTAAGTGCTATTAATGCTTTACTTGAAACAGGGATATAAGGGTGCTATTGCCTTCCAAGGACAGTGCCCAACAGAGGACAGGTCACTTTTCCCAGTGAAAAGGACCAATAAATGGCCTCCCCAGTGGTGCAGTGGTTGAGCGCTGGACTGTGAAGCAGCCTCTGCAGTGCTGGTTCCATCCTCAGCTGCCAGCAAGGGTCCCACATGGCGCACAGACCTCTCCTGCTGCACCCGCTGCTCCCCTCAGCAGTGTATTTCATCAGTCTGCCTGTTCTGTTCCCCGCTCTGGCTCTGGTGAATTCTCTCACCCTCCCGTGCTTCTGAATGTACCCAGTGCTTGTATAAATAAATAAATAAATCTTTAAAGAAAAAAAAAAAAGGACCAATAAGAACGCTGTGAGTTCTCACCTATACACACAATTGTAAGACCACTCAGACTCCAGGGATAAAAATAATGGAGTTGGGCCTCCCTGGTGGCGCAGCGGGTTGAGAGCCATGCTGTGAAGCTGTCCACAGCCTCTGCAGTGCCAGTTCGATTCCCGGCAGGCCAGGGAGAAACCCACATGGCGCAGCAGACCTCTCTTGTCTTACCCACTGCTCCCCTCAGCAATGTCTTCGGTCCGTCTGCCTGTTCTGCTCCCTGTTCTGTCTCTGGTGAATTCTCTCACCCTCCCATGTCTCTGACTGTACCCCAGTTATTGTATAAATAAATCTTTTTAAAAATGGGGTTTATTTAACAAAAAGGGAAACAAAGAGTTACTAAGACCACAAGTGGCCTATCTCACCCTAGAGAGAGTCCATAGTGTTCAGAATTCCCAAACCAAAGGCCACTCATCCAAGATGGTGTCGTCTCACCAAGGAAGGATGAAGTGTATGGCAACTGGCAAACAATAGCAGAGATCAAGTCACTGTAGCCAGAGGTGCTCACAGGCAGGGCGCTGAGACGACCCTACAGCAGCCCACAGCAATAATCAGGATAAACATCATCAGATGCTGGACCATACAACAGAGGCATCAGCACTAGGAGCTGACTCAGGACAATTTGATAAGCAGCTCCTCATGAGTCCTTGGCCCACACCAACAGCAAACAGCTCAGTGAGACACTAGGCCAGGGCCTTTAGTGATCTTTCCAGGTGATGGGAGCAACAAGGCTAGAGGAAGGGACATCCTCCTGGTCACTGCAAAACTCTTCAGCTTCTCTCTCTTCAGAGGCAGTTACTGGAAACTGCTTCTTTCTTCTTTCTTCTCTTGGAGTCCAGGTACAGAGTCGGAGTAGTCCCAAAGTCTGGAGTGTCCCAAGATGTTAGCATCCCAAGATGGCTCCTGCACTCCCTTACATCCTCTTTCAGAGTCCCCACTCTAGTTGATACCTCCTTATAGGACCATTTAACTTGGCTTGTGCCTGGTGGGGGTTCAGGGGCTGCCCACAGGCAATAACTTTCAGCACAGGTGGGTAAACCTGCCATGTGTTTCTACAGCTTTTTGTGGGGCAGTGAGAAAAATGCCAGTCTTGCCCTGCAGTCCATACTGCAGGACCCCAGTATCATAATCACTTAACAAAAAAACTTTTGGCAGCAGTTCTTCTGCCCACCTGTGACTATGCAGGGGCTTATTTTCACCAATTTTCTTATTTCTTATTTCTCCCTCTGCAGTACCACACCGGAGCTTCTACTCACTGACCTCCCTCAGTGAAGGTAGCGCTCCTCAAGGCCACCCACCCACTAGCATGCAGGCCTCTCTCAGCAAACCTGTCCATTTCAGAGCAGCTACTTCTGCTGGCTTGTGTCTATGTAATTGTCCTTTATTCTTCTGTCTCCTTTCCCTAATAAACATGTTCTTTAAATATTAAAAAAAAAACAAACGAAACACTATTGATATCAGAGGGTTGGGTCAATCTACTGTGGAAGCATATTATCTCCTCTGCAAGTTTAAATGCTACATTTTAAAAACCTTCATGTAAGAATGAGTTTATGATTGAGGGGCTAAATATTTTCGGAAAATTTAAAACAGGACTTAAGTAAAATTAACATGTATCAAGGATTTTATGTATTAATTAATGAAGGACCCAGTAAAATGGAATACCATTTCAAAGGAGATTTTGAGAAACAGATATTTACATGATGACAATGACTCTTACTTTGATCTAATGCTATCAGGCTCCTCTAAGACTGTTAAGCCTCAGCTCTAGACTTCAGTGTCCATCCTTGTTGGGTCTGCATCATCCAATTGTAGCGATAATCTTGATAAATCAGTTTAGAAAGAGCCCAAGAGCCCTCATCCTTGATAGCTGATCACCCAAAAATTAATTTTTAAAGATGTGTTAATTTATACAAGAACTGGGGTACAGGCCAGATGTGTGGGAGTGTGAGAGGATTCACCAGAGACAGAGCGGGAAACAGAACAGGCAGACAACCAAAAACACTGCTGAGGGAAGCAGCGGGCGAGACAAGAGAGGTCTGCTGCACCATGTGGGTATCTCCCTAGCAGGCCAGGATCGAACCTGTCTGCAGAGGCTGTGGATAGATTCACAGCGCTGCAGTCAACCGCTGAGCCACCAGGGAGGCCCACCCACAAATTCTGACAGAAGTCCTTGATTCCTATTATCACGCAGGTGATAACTAGTCACCCCGGCCTGCCTTAAACAAGAATCCTGATAGATCACATTGGCGAGTCCTCCATTACGTTGTTTAACATACCAGCCACCAACTCCCTCACCCTGCTCCTGACCTATAAATTCCCATTTTCCCTTGTATTCAGAGGTGAATGCAAAATCTCTCTTCTCTACCACAAAACCCCATTGCAATGATCTCCTAACAATCCTCCTAACAACTGTCAAGATAATACTGTTTTACAACAGTTATTGAAAGGAATATTACAATTGATTTGCTAACAGATTTGAAACTGATAATGTCCTACAACTGTAGCATCTGGGATTTTCTTCTCTACCAGTCAGAAACACGCAAGTTAACATGTAAAGGGAAAGTGCTTAAAAAAAAAAAAAAAAAAAAAAAAGATTAAGTAGCAAATAGGTCAACATAAGTGCCTTTTATAAAATTATGTAATTCAAGGGTAAGTATATTAAGCAATGATGTAAAAAGTTATTTTACCATCCTTGGTTTTATTTACAAGTTTTAAATAATTCTTAATAAAATATTTTGCCACTATATGGAACACACATTTAGGCTGGATAGAGTTATTAGTAATTCTATGTCATCCTCCAAATTTTTAATTTACTGAAGTCAAAGTGAAGGTAAATTCCTGTGATAGCATATCATAGTCAAATATCCATTGATGTTTCTTAAAAGTGATTTAGTTTTCCTTATGTTCTTCTTTTCTGTCTATTGTAGGTAAGAATGGGCAGTGTGAAAGAAGTTCATGAGATTCTTCCTTTGCTTTCTAATGTTAATGAGTTTCTTTTAGTTACACTCACATGGATATAGCTGCTCTTCCACCTTTGCTTCTTTAACTTTTCTTACATGTGTCAAATTAAATTAAAAAAAAAAAACTTTACTGGGCAGAATAGAAATTCCACCTACTTCTAGAAAGCTGGAAAGTTCTTTTTTATTCAAATGATTCTTAAAAGTTTCCAAATAGTTACCCCATCTTTCGATGTGAAATAAAATATTATGCTTTAATATAATAAGCAAATCAGTTTATAGAGGATTTTCCCTTAAAAGTAAAGGCAATACAATTCAAGAAAGTATGAACAACCATAGTTACAAACTATTCCATTAAAAATAAAAAGTAATAGCTATGATGTATATTTACCATATGTCATGAACAGAGATGGTCCCATCAAAGGCCATGATAACTTGTTTTCATGTGAATTCTGCATCCAGTGGCACCGCAACATAAAAAAAAAAAAAACACCCAAACTCACAAACCTAAAAATTTTGCATCAAAATGTGAACTATCATTAATTGTCTTTCACTGTACCAGACTGCCTTAAGAAATGATACATTCTACATTTTATAGTTATAAATTATAGTGGTCTTAAAATAATCAATGAAATGATTTATACCTGTTAATTTTCAAATATAACATTTTCATTACTATATTGATTCTGGAAATAATGTCTTCATGAGAATATGATGTTTTTAATCAACATTAAAAATCTCGGTAGCATAATCATCAATACCTTCCCGATTTTTTACAAATACTTCATTAAAAATGAGGTTGTAACAAAAATAATAAACTTAAAATACTCTACTTTGCAAAAAATGAAGCTCTTTGTTTCTTCCAAAATTTTGATGTCAAAATCTAAAATGTTTTGCTTTCCTGCAAAAGCAGCTTTTTCTCAGTTTTCACCTGCTGTGAGAATTATTTCTACATTATAATTAGTTCAGATAAATGAATGGCAAGATTGCTCTTCAGATTTTACTTTTTAAAGCTCATTTACATGATGGGCTATGATGACATGGTTATTAACAGTTTTTGGGCAATTAATTAAGGTAGTTGGTAGAGTTGTTAGCACAAAATGAAACTGAGAGGTTATTTTAATAAATCCTTCAGCTCATGAGACATGATAGTAGCCATTAATCCACACTAAGTGAATGAACAGTGCTGTTACCCCTCTCTCAGTATTTCATTTGATGGTGGCTATATTATCCATTAGATTTTTTGAAAATAATTCAAAATATGAAGCCTTGGTATCTATCAAACTACTGCAAATCCCTCTTCTCTCTCCTCTCCAAGCTGTGGAGTGTCTACTATATACCTACCATTTTCTCTTTCTTCAGGAACTCTTTCTTTGGTCCCATTATAAGTTCCATCTTACAGAAGATTAACACTGTAAAATCCTTGGTGATAGCTTATGAGAATAGAGAAATGCAAAAGAAATTCTTTTTTAAAAAAGAATTATTCCTTTATTTTAAGATATATATATATATTTTTTTTTTGCAATGTGGGTTTTTTTTTTTTTTTAAAGATTTATTTATTTATTATTCATTTATTTATACAAGCACTGGGTACAGTCAGAAGCGCGGGAGGGTGAGAGAATTCACCAGAGCCAGAGCGGGGAGCAGAGCAGGCAGAAGGGCCGAAGCACACTGCTGAGGGGAGCAGCGGGCGGCAGGAGAGGTCTGCGCGCCATGTGGGACCCTCCTCTGGTGGCCGGGGAGCAGCCGGGGATCGAACCAGCGCCGCAGAGGCCGCAGGCATCTTCGCAACCCAGCACTCAACCACTGCGCCACCGGGGAGGGCCAATTTTAGGATATTTTAGTTATTTTATTTATTTTGTGTAGAAGAACTGGAGTGTGAGCCAGAGGTGCCAGGGGTGATAGGATTCACCAGAGAGAGTGGGGAGCAGAACAAGTGGATTTACTGATATACACTGCTTAGGGGAGCAGTGGGTCAGGCAGGAAAGGTCTGCTGCACCATGTGAGTTAGCTTCCTGGCCAGGGATCCAACTCAGGCTGTCAGAGTGGGCCGTTGGAGTGGTATCACTGACAACCCCCAGGCCACCAGGGAGGCCCCAATTTTGCTGTCCTAAGTTGCTGAGATTTTTTAACATTGCAACAGAATTTTCCCTACACAAATTTACACAACTGATGTATATTGAAGAGAACTTGAAGCTCTGAGACTTGTGCTTTCTAGTCTCATTTATTCTAAAGCCCAGTCTCCACTTACATTTCTGACACTCATAACACTATGCATATGCCCTTATAAATGGCTGAAATTTAAATGAAGGTCAACGTGTCTTTAACCAAAATTTATAGATACCAGATTTAGGGTAAAATACATTATTTGAAAGGCTGCAATTCAACCTTGCTACACCAAAAGAATGGAGGAGATTTCTTTTAAAGAGAAGCATTTTTGTTTGAAAATAAGCAACTTCCTGGACTTTTTTTCTTATGAAAGGAACATCAATCCCTCAAATACACACGAATATACAGCATTTGGATGGAAGATGTCTAAAGTACTTTGCTTACAAAGTAATTGGAATTGTGAACATCCCTTCCATAGTATACTGGATTTGGGGGTGGGAAGTGTGAGGTAGAGATGTTAGGTAGAGGTGACTTCATTTAGAGTGATCTGGAGATAAGTTCAATGAAAAACCTGTAGGTCCATAAGAAATTCTGTGTGGAGACAAGTGATGAGGAAATTAGAATACTTCATCAGTAATTATTCTATTTAAGTTGTCGCTTTTTCTTTTTCTTTTTTTTTTAAGATTTATTTATACATACAAGAGCTGAGGCACAGGCCAGAGGTGCAGGGGGTGAGAGGATTCACCAGAGACAGAGTGCAGAACAGAATACGCAGATCCACCGAAGCACACTGCTGAGGGGAGCAGTGGGCGAGTCAGGAGAGGTCTACTGCGCCATGTGGGCTGCTCCCCAGCCCGCCGGGATCAAACTCCCACTCAGTGGCTGCGGATTGCTCCACAGTGCGGTCCCCAACCCCTTGCGCCGCCAGGGAGGCCCAGTGTCGCTTTTTCTACAATGATTTATGATCCCCTTCAGTGGTACCTAGTCCAGATATTATTTATATTAAAACTTTGTACCTAGATTTTAAAAACCTAGTGTTCATTGAATGTTTCTATGACTTACATTTGTTTGGTTGTGCCTATTATTCTTGGTGGCTGCCCATCTTCCAGTCTCTAATTTTTGAGAGATGTGCAAGCTGAAATACGAAGATGAGTTTTTGATGGATGGCTTATAAATAATAAGCAAAGAGACACTGAAGACTACAGCTACTCTGAACCTCTTAACCTTCCCATCCCACTTCTCCAGAGGTTTATGAATGAATAATTTTTAATTAATTAATTACTCAATCAGTGAGCCTTCCAATTATCAATTCTGACTAATTTTCCTTCTACTAAACTAAAAAAGGAAAGAAAGAAAAAATCTGTCATCATAACAAGTAAATTAATGCTATGTTGGAAAATAAAAAGAGATCAAGAAAGGGGAAAATGGTTTAAAACAGATCATCTTTCCTCTGGGAAATGGTTGTAATTGAATTCCCCCACATCCTCTCTAAGTTTGCAATTCATGCAACTACAGCACAAGTATGACCTCAGGTAGGTCAGAATTAAACAACTAATGTGAACTGCCCACTCTCTGTCACATCTAAGAGATACTCTTCCATGTATCTTTAATTCTCTTTTTACACTTCTAATGGAGTTTTTGTGAGGTGTAACACAGAAAAAGGGTAACAAAAAAGAAAGAAAAAAAAATTTAGGAAGAAAATAGTGTGGTTAGAAATGTCTATCTTATAGTGAACATAACCTACATCACAGAAAATATATAGGTCAGTTTAACATCTTTGGTCTAAAAGTTTTATAACATTCTATAGTCTCAGGTAAGCTGCTGTGTGTATCCCTGGTGAACTGTAATCTGGTTGTACATCATAAACAGCTACTTACTTATTCTTATATTTAAAATATGCTCCAAATAAATCTAGTTCACAACTATTCTGTGACATTTCATAAACTCAAGTATATTATGAAAATACTGTACATTAATATTTATTTTCATCTGCATAATATTCAAACATCAGCAATAAAAAAGAAAATTCTTTTTTTCTCCCCCCGACCCCCAAAAAGAAAATTTTTATAAATGGATAAGGTGTACAATGAGAATTATTTCTCTTACAATGAAATTCTTATATAGATACATAGAAAAAAAGGATGCCTTATTAGAATATAGCACTATGTCCTCCTAAACCAGGTCAGTTCATAAAATCCCTCTCTTTATAGGCATTTCTATTCAAGTATATACACAAACATCCCCATGCATTTATTTTAGGTGGAAATTATTTTAAATCATGAATTATTGACACAATATACTTGTACTTTATGCAAAAATGTTTTCACTAGAGAAATAATATTTATGGTTATACTACACAAAAATTGAATTATTTTTAAATTACCAGTCATGTTTTATCTTTTGAATTTTATCACCTTAATATTTGGCATTTCTGTGGCCTAAAAAGACTAGAATCATTTAAGATTTAATGAAGAGCTATTTACCTCCTAAATCTTCTTCCCTTGAGTAATGAAATAATTACCCTCCCATAATCATGGAAACATGAAACTTGAATCTCAAATTGAGCTGTTGTGAGAAGGGTTAGTGATGTTGCATAGGTGATCACCATGGTAACATTTGTAAATGGCACTGATGTCAAGCCAAGAGCGTGGGATTTCAATTCCCACAAGAACCCAACCAGGGACTAGAGATGAACTCTCTCATGGTCTCAGAAAATGACAGAAATCCAGCATTTTCTGGGTGTCTCACTGGAGGATGCTTCGCCATTTTATGTCATTCTCAGAGGAAGATGATTTTAAAATCCAACAACAACATATTCTCAATAGTTTTAATTAAAATGCTTTGTAATGTTATATCATGGTGATGTGTATGTATGTGTTTGTGTGTCTATGTGGTGTATGTGTAGTGTCTGTGTGGTATACGTGTATGCCTTTGCTGTACAATCAAATAAGGCTTATCCCTAAGGAAGAGCATGATAATGTTAGGAAGGGAATTCACCAAAGCTTTATTCATATAACAGAGATAATTAAATAATTAGACATTTTCTAAAACATAAGAGCAAGTTAATTTATTTTTAACAGCATGGATTAGGAAGGTGATTCCATAAATCCTAAAGAGAATATGACTTACTCAGAATTAAAGAGGAATAATTAGTGTCACTCTGGCCATGTGTGTGTGTGTGTGTGTGTGTGTTTGTGCGCGTAAAATATATCCTGTTTTAATTTCAGGGTATACAGGACACTAAATGGGACTCAATGTAGAAAAGACAAGCTAATGCAAATTTAAAGGTAGATATAATACACACATACACGTATACATACACACACATATACACGCGATATATGTTGCATATTGCATCCAATATTGCATCAAATATAGCATCCAATATAGCATCAAATATTGCATCCAATATAGCATCACAGACACATCCTAATTTTCTAGTAACTTAAATTGAGGTTACTTAAAGTCTTTCCAAGAGAGAGTTCATACAATAAGTACATAATTACTAATTGTAATTAGCATGCATAATGTTTGTATGCAACTGAGCCCCTGTAAAGTTTTGCAAACAGGGGCCTCCCTGGTGGCCAGGCGGTTGAGCACCGCATTGTGAAGCTGTCTGCAGCCTCTGCAGTGCGGGTTTGATCCCCGCTGGCAGGCGAGAATCCCACATGGCGCAGCAGACCTCTCCTGGCTCGCCCACTTCTCCCCTCAGCAGTGTATTTCGTCAGTCTGCCTGTTTTGTTGTCCGTTCTGTCTCTGGTGAATACTCTCACCATCCCACGCATCTGTCCTGTACCCCAATTCTTGTATAAATAAATAAATCTTAAAAAAATGTTTTGCTGTTTGCCTGACCTTGTAATTTACTTAGTTTTACTTAATATTAAATATTTTAGCAATGCGCAATCATTTAATATTTATAATATAACATATCAAAATAGCTAAAGATTTATAAGAAAGACAACAGCAAATATTTTCTACAGCCATTGAAAAGGTAAATTTCAGCCCATTTTACTAATTCAATTATTTAATCAATCAACCAACGGATCATTATAGAACACCTGCTAGCTAGGGCTATGCTAAATGTTGCTGGTATAGAAGAGCAAAAATAGATACACTCATCTTGGAACTTACAGTTCATTGGTGAATTTATTTACACTAATAAATGGAAAATCACATTTGTGATTTTCTTTAATTAAATTAATCTAATTAAAACTGCAATTAAAATTAAAGTTTATATAAAAAAAAAAAAACAGGTGGTGGTCCATTAGCCATCGTAATAGAGAGGTGATCCATGAAGGGAGATCAAAGCAAACTTCCCTAAGAAGGAGAAAACTGAAATGGGAAAACAAATATACAAATGGCTGATTTTTGTTCTCCATGTTGTAAATTAAAACTTCTGATCATTATGGTAATGATATTAATTCACATATAGTTTCATACTAATGAGATTGAACATTTTTCCTATAGATTTTTTAGTGTGCTGAACCTCACAACACAACTTATTTTGTGGTTTATCTGATAATGTCCTTCCTTGTTCATCTACCAGGCTAATATTACTTTTGTAGACTCTAGAAAGGAATAAAGAACACTATCTAGCAAAACTCCTTGCTTGTATTTCAAATACTCCACATATTTCACAAATGTTTCTTATCCACCTACACTTACGGGTTGAATTATGTGCCTGCAAAAAATGATATATTGCAACCGTAGCCCCCAAGATCTCAGAATATGACCTTTAGAAATAAGGCTAGTGTAGATATAATTACTTAAAATGAAATCATACTATACAATATGACTGGTGTCCTTATAAGGAGACAGTAACATGAAGACAAGAAAATAAAACAAAGGGAAATATCATGTAAGGATGAAGACGGAGACTGGAGTTATGCAGCTGGAAACTAAGGAATGCCAGTCACTGCTGGTAAGCCACCAGAAGCTGGGAAAAGGCAAGGAAGGATTCCCCAGCAGGCTTCCAGTAGAACTTAGTCCTTCCAACGCCTTGATTTCTGATCACTTCTGATCTCCAGAGCTACGAGGCAATATATTTCTGTTGTTTTAAACAGAAGTTTTGTACTATTTTATTACAAAATTCCTAAAGAACTGAAGTATCAGTCACTATTCTAGGAATTTATTAGACTGACAATACAGCAAATGCAGTAGCATAAAAAGTGTGGTCCTTGTCACAAGAGCTTCCAAAATATATGTTTACGAACTAACTTGGTGATAAAGAACATACTACTTTTTGATAGATTTGTGGTACAAATCACTTGTAGCTATATAACAATTGAAAAGAAAACTCAGTGGAGATACTTGAATTTAAAGAGAGTTGGGACCCTTTATATAGTCTTCATGAGAAATTATTAAAATTAAAGTGAAATTTCTGACCACATCAATGCCAAGTAAATATTATGTGCAATTAAAGGAGTCAATACATGCATACATAGATATTTGTCCATGCACAAATCCCTATGCTTCTATACATTGAGGTCAAACACTTTGTTTTATGAGTAATGGTAAAGTATTTTAATTGCTTTTCTGTTTTAATTTATTATATTATAATAATAAACTATAGTGGAAATGGTATGGGAATAGACATAAAATATGGTCATTTATAGTGGAAATAAAGGCAGTGAATGGCATACACAGCAGGCCTTAATTCTGCTCTTGGGTGAACACACAGGGTCTTACTAACTTTAAGATTAGCTGTGTTTACTCATATGAATAAGTTGATTGTTAAAGCATTCTTTTTTTAGATAGTTAAAGCAACTATCTAATAGATATTATATTTTTTCATGTAAATAATGAAATTTATATTTCACATAGGTAAACAATATTTATCTGTGTGTATGTATACACATGTATATATGTATATGGTATTTGTAATTTTGTATGAGTCATGTCAGAAAATAATGAGTTCATATCATTAGCTTTATTTTTTCATTAGTTTTTGTGATGGATTCCAAAAATGACCACAAATTTTTCTTTTCCATCTATGTAGGCCTTTTGCAATGTGACTTTGTAAATTCTCTCAACAAGAGATGGAGTCTTTTTCTCCACCATTTACATCTCAAACAAGGTCAAACTTCACCTTGTAATTTGCTCTAGTCAAGAATATGTTAGGTGACTTGTGAGTAG